ATCGAAATCCAGTGGATGCCGAGGCCAATTGGTCCCACTGGGAACGCTCCCCCTTGAGAGTTTCGATCTCCAGCCCGATCTGCGTGAGCTCCTCCTGTTCGGGGGACACGTGGGTAGCTCCGCCTAGCTGGCCGGGAACTGGGGAAGCCGCTTGGAGAACACCGCTCGCCTCGCTGGCCACAGGGACCGCCACCGCGGCAGACGGGTGCGGGCCTGGCTTCGGCACTGTCGCCAGGGGAGTGGGAGCCAGCGCGGAGGCCTCCGCGGCTGGCTGCGAAACTGGGGCAGTCTTGGCGGGCACGGGCGGAGGCGGCGGCGGCGGCGGTGGAAGCGCCGCAGCCGGGTGCTCCCACCGACTCTTCCGTTGCCCGGTTGAAAAAGAAGAGGGCGCCTCCGAGGTTGCGCTTCGACTCCCATCCCGGGGGCGAGCCCGGCGGGCTGTGGAGCGGCGGGCCTGGCGAGATGGGCGCCGGAGACGGCCGAGCTCGCCCGTTCGGCGTAGACGGGGGGCGTGGCTCTGATGACCTGGGCGGGGCGGTCAAGCTAAGGGCAGCCTGCGCCCGGGGAGTGCCCAGGGCCTGTGCGCTGGCGCCCGGGGGCTCCTCCTCCTCCTCCTCCTCCTCCTCCTCCTCCTCCTCCTCCGCCGCCCCACCCGGGGTGCTCCCAGACGCCCCGGATGGGGGCGTTGCAAGGGCGCGCGCGGGCTCGGGTCGCCGGCGACGCCCCGCGCCGCGGGCGACGGGGCCTCCACCTCCGCCTCCGCGGGCGCCGCGCGGGGCGAACTGCCGCGACGCCGCGCGGGGCCGCGACGCCGCGCTGGGCCGCGGCGGCGTCTGCCCCTGGAGCGAGCGCGGCCGTCGTCGCGGCGGCGGCGCGAGCGGCCCGCGGGCTGCGCCAGGCGTGCCAGCGCGGCGCCAAGGCGCCTTGCCCTTGGACGCGGGGCCGACACCGGACAGCGGGGGCAGCTGCGGGCGGGGGGCGCTCGGACCTCCTCCCTGGGGGCGCCCGGGGTGGAGGAAAAGGAAAGCCGAAGCGACGCAGCGCGGCGGGGACACCGCGGGCACGACGGCGCGGCGCAACGCCGACGCGGCACGCCCGCGGCGACGCGGCACCGCAACCAAAACCACGGCAAAGCCGACGCGACACAACACGGCAAGGACACCAACGATACAGCACCGACGCGGCACACCACGGCACGACCCACACCACGCACCCGCGCCCAACCCCCGCGGCACGGGCCCGGGGGGCAGCGGCGGCAAGAATGCACAGCGCACGGATTTTAAGACACTCGCGCCCATGGCTGGCATTGCTCCCGGAACAGGCACAAAGCCGACGCGCGAGGCTGCGCGGGCGGGATGGTTAGGATAGGATAGGACCGATCGCGAAGCGAAGTAACATGACCCAACCACCACCCAAGCCGTCTGCTCGGGTTGAATTAGGCTGAGGATCCTCCCCGAACGTTGCAAGGGACGGACCACACACAAACTCAAACTTCAACATGGAGCAGGGAGGCGTCCGGGGGGGCTCCAAGGCAACTGCGGCCAAGCAGCGGCCGGCCCCAGAACCCGGGGCCCAGGGCCCCGGACGCCGCGGGCGCTCCGGCAAAGCAACGGCCCAGGGGCCCAACCCAGGGAGACAGACCCTGGAAAAACAAGGGGCCGATCCAGGAAGACAGGAAGACCAGGGAGGCGACCAGGGAGGCCCCAGGGCCCTCGCAGGCGAGCAGCGGCTGGCCCCTGGACCCAGGACCCAGCAGCGGCCCCGGGGCCCAACCCGGGGAGACAGACCCAGGACAACAAGGCAGACCCTGGCAGACACGCCCGCCAGGGAGGTTTTGTGGCTTCCAGGGTCGGGCCTTCCTCCGCCGCCCAGTGGCGCAACTTTTTCTCCGGGGGGCTGGCTGCAAGAGCACGCCATGATGCCGCCTACGGCGGGCAGGCCTCCTCATAGAGCTGCCAAGACCCCACGCCCGGACCATGCCTATCGCCTCCTGGGCAGCGCTACGTGGGCTCCATACACAAGTGCAAGACCTTGCTGAATTCGCAGCAGCATCCTCGGAAGTCATCCACAGCTTGAACACGTCGCGAATGCGCTCTGAGTGACCCGAAGCTCTCTGCACTCATACCGTTGATCTCTCGCATTATGTCTAATTTGTTGCGGGCGGTTTTGTCCGAGTTGCGAACTCTGAATCTGTCCACGTGCTCAGCTAGCTACAAAGTACGAGTTCGAAGCCAAGTGTCTCAGGGCGTCGTCCCGTGACAAGCCCATGAGAACATTGTGCTTGATCCTGCTCAATATATTGTGCAGTGCAAGTAGAAGACGTGGATGATCAACCTTGGTCGCCATGAAGGCCACGATTTGCTGGGGCCCCGCCGACTTCCGGACCTCCTTTAAATTGTCACGGATGGTCTCTGCAGCTGGGAGCGTGCAGCAAACAGCCAAGATGTATGCCATTTGCCATCTTTCCTTCGCTGGAAGGGCACGTGTGACGTCATTTTGCCCGGTTGTACACTGCACCGTGAGCTCGTCCGATGAATTTGTATTGAGAAGGAGGTTGCGCATACTTGTGCCACTGCCGAGAAGAATCTCGGCCTCAAACTGCAGCCGCTCTCGCCCCCCCGCATCATAGTCCTTATGATGGCTGACTTGGCCTCTGATCGAGAACCGTCTCGCTAGGGGGCGGAGCAGGCGGTGCCGATCGCATCTCGGGGAATCAAAGTCGTAGGCCTCCTCGCGGTCGTCATCTGCCCAATCCTCCCCCCCCCCGCCTGCCTCGGCTGGTCGCCGCTTGCAGGCTGGGCCGGCCGGCCCCGCCGCGCGAAAAGGGCCTCGGCGCTGCTGGGGGGGGGGGCTTCGTCACTGTCGTCCTCCTCGGCGGGCGCCGCCGCGCACGCCACTGCCCGCGCGGCTGCGCTCCCGGGCCCGCCAGCCCCGCGCCCCCCAAGGCTGGATGCGGGGCGGCGGCTCGGGACAGGGCGGAGCGAGCTCAGGCGGGGCGACAAAAATGGCCGGCTCTTGGTGGGCTTGTTTTCCACCACCACCACCATAAATTGGAGGGGGAGGGGGTCCTCCTCCTCCACCTCCTCCTCCTCCTCGTCCTCGTCCTCCTCCTCCTCCTCCTCCTTCCCCCCTCCAACTCATGGTGGTGGTGGTGGAAAACAGGCCCATCAGCTCTCTCAGAACAGAAGCAAGATGCATGCGAGACCCCACGACGCAGGTCCAGCCTGAGAGCGACCCCGCAGGGGGGGGGGAGAGCAGAGCCTGGAACAGCAGACCCTGGCTCGGGTGTGCTGTCCCAGGGTCGGCTAACCGCTTTGCCTAACAAGACCCATATGGGAGGGGAGGACGAAGGGATGGCGGGAAGGAGGGAGGGAAGACGGGGGCAGGCGGAGGAGGAGGAAGAGGAGGGGCAGCTCTCCAGACGCCGCTCCCCCTTGGCGGCCCAGAGGAAGGCGCCGATGGACAAGCCCCTCGTACAAGAATGAACCAACAATTGCAGCACGCCGAGCACGAAAGCGCACACACGCACACACGAGACAGCATCGCACTCGCAATGCACGCCCACGCTCCCGAGACGCGCGCGTGCGGACAACCTAGCGCTGCAACGCTGCCCATAACCATTTCCCGCCGACGCTGCATATGGTATGTTTGCTTGCGCTGCGCTGGCCACGCCGGACCACGAAAGACCCTGGCAAATGATATATCACCATAGCACGGGTAAAGTACCGAGGGAAATCTGCAAGGCGGCAGCAGAATCGAGGACAGCAAGAGGGGCGGGGGGAGGGGAGCAGGAAGCCGACAACGGCCACGGACGACGCTGACCCCGAGGACTTCTGAGAGCCTCGACGGCCAGCCCCTCCCCCCGAGCCAGCCGCGCTTTGCATGAGCAGGGGCACGCAAACGCAAGGGTGAGCAGAACTCCCTGTGCTACCAAGCGCGTGCTGCTCCTGCTCGGCCCAGCAGCGCACCTGGAAGGGGAGGAGAAAGCAGGCGGGAGGGACGGGAGAGACGGGGGTCAAGGGCATAAAAAACGCCCCTGCCCTGGTTTACGAGGCGCTGTGCGCTGAAACTTCTGTGGGCTGACAGGGTCAAACCTGCGTGATGTGCCGCGTCCTGGCAGCTCTAGGCTTTGGGGGTTCCCAGGAGGTTTACAGACCACGCACTTGTAACCCAGGGTAGGGTCGTTTTTTCGTCCCTCAAGGGGGGCAGGAAGGGGCAGTGGGGGCAGGGCAGGCGCACAGGAACCACCACCGACCCCGACTCTCAGCTGCAGCAGTGCGAGGCGACCACAACACGGGCTTATCTGAGCGCAGCGCTCGACGGCGCTCCCTCCCGACGTCCCTGGGGGCCGCTGGCAGACAACGCCCCCTTCAGGCGCTGGTGCACTGCACCCAGGAAATGGCGTGCGCAGGCCGAGGGCTACACGCAAGACTTCTGAGTTCAGCTTTGCATGCAGATTTTCCACCACCCACACGAACTTATAGCTTTCTGCCCACGTCCGCTTGCGGACCGATTCGACTCGACCGGGCCTTGCTGCTGTTGCTTGCACTACACCCAGGAGTGGGGAGACCCCGGCCCATGGCGGGCGCGCCCCGCCCGCCCCGCCGGGACCCGCCCCGCCGGGACGACCGGGGGACCCGCCCCGCCGGGACGACCGGGACGCCCCGCCGGGACGACCGGGACGCCGCGCGCCCGCGCGCCCACGGGCGACAAGACTGTTCTTCCGAAGTCCTTGGGTCAGAATGGCTTGAGCCAAAACGGCGACGGAGATGGCGCGCGTGTGCGGCCAGCGCCAGCGACTCGAGAGGAGCCGGCGCCAGACTTCCTGAAACGGTGCGCCTGCATCCCTGCCCGCTGGGCCCGTCCCTCGTGCAGCTCCTGGCGTGGCGCCGCTGCGACCATTCCAGCGCGGCCGTCCGGGGTCATGGCCCGCATCCGTGCCTCTCGCCCTCCTCCCCTGTGCACCTGCCCCTGCCGCTGCGCGCCCCTCCCCCCCGTGCAGCCGCACTGCCTCGACCGCCCGCCCGCCCGAGGCCCAGTGCCTGGGACCCGCGGCCCTCCGCCCTGGCCTCCGGCGCCTCCGCCTCGCCGCGCCCCGTCGCCATGGCCTCGGTGCGCGCCCTGCTCGAAGAGGGCGCCATGGCGGGGTGCGCCGTCGCCGCCTGCGGGGTCACGGCCGCGGCCGCGGCCGCCGCCGTGGGCGGCGGCCCCGGGCTCCTGGGCCTCAGCGCCGCCTGCGGCGTGGCCTACGTGGCCGGTGCGGCCGCTGGGAAGCGGCGGCGCCTGGGCGCGCTCGAGGCCCAGGTGGCCGCCGCCGCAGAGTTCGCCGGGCTCGAGGCCCAGGTGGGCGCCCTGGAGGCGTCCTTCCTGGACGCGAAGATGGCCGCCCTGGACGCGAAGGTGGCCCAGCTGTCCGCTCTAAGCGTGGAGGTGGACGATCTGAACGTGAAGGTGGACGCGAAGGCCGCCCTGGACGCCGCCATGGACGCGAAGGTGGCCCAATCAGAGAATGGATGGATTCGGTTTGTGTTCGGGATTCGGTTTTCTGCTAGGGATGGGGCCAACGGGACCAGGGGGACAGCGACGACGACGACGACGACGACGAGGGCGACGAGGGCGTAACGAAAGAGAGGAGGAAGAAAACGACGACGAGGGGGCGGAGGGCCAACACTCCCATCCGTCCTATCGGCCCAAGCCAAGAGCAAGTGCAGAAGAAAGAAACGCATCGGAATCACATTGGAACCATCATGACACAATCTTGGGGTCGTCAACTAGGGTTTGGAAGGGGTCATCTTGGGGCAATCTCGAAGTCGTCTTGGACTCATGGGGTCGTCCCGGGGCCACCTAACATCGGGGTCGCGCGGTAGTCTTAGTTCAGTCGGAAGACAGTGGGTTCGTCTCGGTGTTCTCTTGGGGCCGCAGGGTCGCTCTGGGGTCATGTAGGGGCCATTGCTTAGCAGGGGTGGGCATCTTGGGGCGAAAGGGGTAATCTCGTGATCATTTCAAAACCCTGTTGGGTCCATCTTGGAATCACTACAGATGTTACTGCTGCAGCTGGCGTTGATGCTGGTGGTGCTGCCTGGGCTGCCCGTGGTGCTGGTGCTGGTGCTGTGCTAAATTTCGGGCCTCTTGGAGCCATCTTGCCTCTTGGAGCCATCTTGGGGCCCTCGCGGGGGCCCTCGTGGGCCTCTTGGGGCCCTGCGGGGGCCTTCTGGGGGCCCTTAAGACGCCACCGAGAGGGCCAAGAAGTCAACGCACACTTAACACAAACCGCCTCCTTATTCGAGAGCGTCTTGTGTTAGATTTAAAACTGGTTCCTCTTGGAGCCCTCTTGGGGCCCTCTTGGGGCCCTCGCCCTCTTGGAGCCCTCTGAGCATCCTAAAGTGCCTCCAAGAGGGCCAATAATTCAACGCACATGTAAGACAAACCGCCTCCTTATTGGAGAGCGTATTGTGTCAAGTTTGGGTTGAATTCCGGGCCCTCTTCTAGAAAACCCCAATAAAAGGCCCAAGAGAGACTCAAGAGGGCGTTTCTTAGCTTCCTCGCGGGGGGTTCACCATGTGTCCGCTCTTTGTACAACTGCTTCCTCTTGCGGGGCTCGGCTTGAGGTTCGGGGGGCCTTCAGGAGGGTTCCAGCCTGAGGTATCCAAAGACTTCGCGTGAGCTTCGAGTGCGATTGCGCTGCTCCAAGAGAGTTCCGAGACGGCCCAGAGCGCTCCAAGACGCTCACAATGGCTTCAAGACTACCAAAGAGACCCTGCAGACGCCCCCGGGGGGCTCTGAGAGGACCCCACAGGGGCCCCAAGAGGCCCAAACCACAGTTGTTCCAGTGGTTTGGAAGGATTTTAGCGTTCTCGCTTTTTCGGGGTTCCAACGTTCCAAGAAGGCCCAAGTGCTTCCAGGATCGGCCCAAGACGGCCCAAGAGGCCCCCGACGAGGGCCCCAAGACGACCCACGAGGGCACCAGGACGACCCATGAGGTCCACAATGCGGCCCAAGAGGTCCCCAGGACGGCCCCAAGAGGGGACCCAGGGGGCCACCGGAACTCACGTTGTGAGATTTTGTCCATCAGGATCGCCTTTTGCGAAGCGGCGTGGGGGCATGCGGAGAGCCTTCGCAGTCAGACGCGGCGCCGGGGTCACCATGTATGACGGCTTGGGAGCGCTCAAGGAGGTCCCAAGAGGAGTGCCCCGAGGAAACTCCAAGAGTTTCCGAACAGTCTCCGGGTCACCCGGAGATGCTGCAGCACCATCTCTGGGTGACCCAGAGACCTCTCGGGGCTCTCTTTTAACTTTCACGGGGGACTCCTATATGGCAAGGGGGGGGGCGGAAGAGGGGGAGGCGGTTTCTTCGGCCCATATGGGGCCTCTCGGGCGCCTCTTGAGGTCTGTTGGGGTTTCTTGGGGACCTCTCAGGGCCTCTTGGGGGTCCTGTTGAACCCTTGAAACGTCTTCTCGGGGTTGTCTTGGGACCCACTCGGGGACCGAGAAGCGAGATTGTTGCTGTTGCTGCTGCTGTTTTTGTTGCTGCTGCTGTTGTTGTAGTTGTGTGCTTGTTTTAGTAGTAGTAGTAGTAGTAGTTGTAGTAGTAGTAGTAGTAGTAGTAGTAGTAGTAGCAGTAGCAGTAGCAGTAGCAGTAGCAGTAGCAGTAGCAGCAGCAGGAGCAGTAGCAGTAGCAGTAGCAGTAGCAGTAGTAGTAGTAGCAGTAGTAGCAGTTGTAGTTGTAGTTGTAGTTGTAATTGTAGTTGTAGTTGTAAATGTAGTTGTAGTAGTAGTAGTAGTAGTAGTAGTAGTAGTAGTAGTAGTAGTAGTAGTAGTAGTAGTCGTAGTCGTAGTAGTAGTAGTAGTAGTAGTAGTAGTAGTAGTAGTATTAGTAGTAGTAGCAGTAGTAGTAGTAGTAGTAGTAGTAGTAGTAGTAGTAGTAGTATTCGAAGTAGTAGTCGTAGTAGTAGTCGTAGTAGTAGTTGTAGTAGTAGTCGTAGTAGACGTAGTAGTAGTAGTAGTAGTAGTAGTAGCAGTAGTAGTCGTAGTCGTCGTAGTCGTAGTCGTAGTCGTAGTCGTAGTAGTAGTAGTAGTAGTGATCAGTAGTAGTAGTAGTAGTAGTAGTAGTAGTAGTAGTAGTAGTAGTAGTAGTAGTAGTAGTAGTAGTAGTAGCAGTAGTAGTAGTAGTAGTAGTAGTAGTAGTAGTAGTAGTAGTAGTAGTAGTAGTAGTAGTAGCAGTAGCAGTAGTAGTAGTAGCAGCAGTAGTAGCAGTAGTAGTAGTAGTAGTAGTAGTAGTAGTAGTATAGTAGTAGTAGTAGTAGTAGTAGTAGTAGTAGTAGTAGTAGTAGTAGTAGTAGTAGTAGTAATAGTAGCAGTCGCAGTAGTAGTAGTAGTAGTAGTAGTAGTAGTAGTAGTAGTAGTAGTCGTCTAATAGTAGTAGTAGTAGTAGTAGTAGTTGTTGTTGTTGTTATTATTGCTGTTGATGCTGGTTGTTGTTGGTTGTTGTTGTTGGTTGTTGTCGATTGTTGCTGTTGCTGCTGTTGCTACGGTTGTGGTTGTTGTCGTTTTTTTTTGCAAGGGTAGACGCGCACGCCATTGCACCAGACCGAGTGTACCACGTAAATTGCGCACCGCATACTTTGCACCACGCAGATGGCACCACGTCGACTGCAACTCATACATAGTACAACATGCATTGCACCGTTTAGGTTGGACCACGTCGACTGCGCCCAACCAGTTGTGCACCTCATAGATTGCTAAACCATTTATCGCCTGTTGAGTTGGCGAGAATGGCCTGATCAATGGCTTCTGATCCCCGGAATGGAACGTGATCCCTGTCGGAACGGGTGTTTCCAATACAAATCATCACATGTTTGGGCGGCGGGAACAGCCTGATCCTTGATTTCTGTTCCCCGGAATGGAACGCGATCCTTGTCGCAACGGGTGGCTCCAATGCAATCATCACATGCTTGGGCGGCGAGAACAGCCTGATCCTTGGTATCTGATCCCCGGAATGGAACGCGATCCCTGTCGCAATGGGTGGTTCCAATACACTCATCACATGTTTGGGCGGCGAGAACAGCCTGATCCCTGGTTTCTGATCCCCAGAATGGAACGCGATCCCTGTCGGAAAGCGCGCGCGTTTCGTTCCTGGGATCAGATGCTAGGGATCAGGCACTCAATTGCGCCGCCCAAACAAGCGATGGCTTCTACTGGACGCGCCCGTTCGGACAGGGATCGCGTTCCATTCCGGGGATAAGATACCAGGAATCAGGCTGGTCTCGCCGCCCAAACATGTGATGATTTGTATTGGAACCGCCCGGTCCTATAGGGATTGCGTTCCATTCCGGGGATCAGAAACCAAGGATCAGGCCATTCTCGCCCTCCAAGCTTGCGATGATGCAACCTTAATGGTGCAATGCATGTTGTGGTATGTTTGTGGTGCAGTCTCCGTGGAGCAACCTATGTGGTGCAAAAGATGTGGTGGTGCGCAACATACGTGGTACAATCGATCTGGTGTTATGTGTTGCCATCTGTGCTTTTATTTGATGGCGTGCGCGTCTACATGTGAAATAACGGCGTATAGCACGACAGCGAACCGCAACAACCAACGACAACAACGACGATAACAGCAACAACAACAGTATCAATAACAACAACAGCAATAACAACATCAACAACACCAAGAAACATCGCCATTAAATAACAAACACATCAACAAAAACAGCAGCAGCATCAACAGCAACAACAACGACAATAACAAACGATAACAGCAGCAACAACTGCAGCTACAACTACAACTACAACTACACATACAACAGCTACAACAACACCAGCAGTAACAATAACAACAACAGCAGCAACAGCAACAACAACATCGCTTCTCGGCCCCCGAGAGGGTAATTACCAAGACAACCCCGAGAAGCTTCCAAGACGCCTCAAGGGTTTCACATGACCCCCAGGAGGCCCTGATAGGCCCCCAAGAACCCTCAATTGACGTCAAAAGGCGCCAGAGTGGCCCCCGTCAGGCCACCAGAAGCCGCCACCTCCTCCGCGTCCGCATCTCCAGGAGATCCCCCTCACCCTCCCGCCCTCCACCACCGTCTTGGAGCCCCCAAGAAAGCTCCAAGAGGGCCCCGAGAGGTCTCCGGGTCACCCAGAGATGATGCTGCAGCAACTTCGGGTGGCACGGAGACTTTTCGGGACTTTCTTGGAGTTTTCTCGGGGCCCTCTTGGGGCTCCTTGAGCGCTCCCAAGCCGTCCTGGAGCCCCCAAAGAGAGCTCCAAGAAGGCCCCGAGAGGTTTCTGGGCCACCCAGAAAAGTTCCGGTGGCCCGCTGGGTCCCCTCTTGGGGCCGTCATGGGGGCTATTTGGGCCGCATTGTGGGCCTCATGGGTCGTCTCGGTGCCATCTTGGGTCGTCCTGGAACCCTTTTCGGTGGCCTCTTGGGTCGTTTTTGGGCGATCCTGGCGGCCTCTTGGTCCGTCTTGGAGCATTGGAACCCAGAAAAAGCGAGAACGCTAAAATCCGCCAGAGAGCCCACAGAAAAACTACGGTTCTGGCCTCGTGGAGCCCCCGAGAGGGTCCTCTTGGAGCCCCCCCGGAGCGTCTGCAGGGTTTCTTTGGCCGTCTTGAAGTTTTTGAGCGTTTTGGAGCGCTCTGGGGCCGTCTCGGAGCCGCCTAGGAGCAGCGCAATCGCACTCGAAGCTCACGCAAAGTTGTTGTATACCTCAGGTTGAAGCCCTCCTGAAGGCCCTCCGAGCCTCAAGCCGAGCCCTGCAGGAGGAAGCATTTGTACAAACAGCGGATACATGGCGACCCCCCCGCGTGGAAGCTAAACACAAATCTCTTTCGGGGCCTTCTTGGGTGTCTCTTGGGCCTTTTTGGGTTTTCTCTGAGAGGGCACGAAATTTACATACATTTAACACACGACGCTCTCCAGTAAGGAGGCGGTTTGCCTTAAATGTGTGTGGAACTCTTGGCCCTCCTGGAGGCTTCTTCAGGCCCTCAGAGGGCTCCCGCAGGGGCCCAAGAGGGCCCAGTTGGGCTCCAAGGGGGCCCCAAGATGGCTCCAGGAGGGCCAGAGTTTTTAACACCGATTTAACACAATACGCTCTCCAATAAGGAGGCAGTTTGTCTTAAGTGTGCGTTGAATTCTTGGCCCTCCCGGTGGCGTCTTAAGGGCCATCAGAAGGCACCCGCAGGGCCCCAAGAGGTCCACGAGGGTCACAAGAGGGCCCCAAGATGGCTCCAAGAGGGCCCGAACTTTAGCACAGCACCAGCACCAGCACCACGGGCAGCCCAGGCAGCACCAGCAGCATAAATGCCAGCAGCACCAGCAACATCTGTAGCAACAACAACGAGAGAGGCAGTAACGGAAATATGATTCCAACATGTGTTTGAAAGGATCACGAGAGTACCCCTGTCGCCCCAAGATGCCCACCCCTGCTAAGCAATGGCCCCAACATGACCCCAGAGCAACCCTGCTGCCCAAAGAGACCGAGACGAAACCATTGTCGTCCGACTGAACAAAGGCTACCGCGCGACCCCGATGTCATTCCGAGGTGGCCCCAGAACGACCCCATGAGTCCGAGACGACTTCGAGATTTCCCCAAGGGCCACAAGATGACGCCTTTAAACCCTAGTTGACTCCAAGAGTGTGTCAATATGGCTCCAATGTGACTCCGATGCGTTTCTTCCTTCTCCCCTTGCTCTTGGCTTGGGCCGATCGGACGGATGGGGGTGCTGGCCCTCCGCCCCCTCGTCGTCGACTTCTTTCTCCTCCCCCTCGTCCTCGTCGCCCTCGTCGTCGTCGTCGCTGTCCGCCTGGCCCCGTTGGCCCCATACACAGCAGAAAACTGAATCACGAACACACGCCGAATCCATCCATTCTCTGATCCAGGTGTCCGCCTTGGACGCGAAGGTGGCCGCCCTGGCTGCCGCGGGCGAGCGGCTCGCCGCAGAGTTCGCCAGGCTCGAGGCGTGCTTGGCAGCGCAGGTGCAGGAGATTCAACGCGACGGCCCCTGCCCACCTCCAGGCGATGGCCCTGTCGCCGCTCATCCGCTCTTGGAGGTGCCGCCGATTGATTGCGAGATCGACGATGCGGAGGGCGAGAGTTGAACGGGCCTGCTGGTGCAGAGCCCTCTGTCGCATTCTCGCTGCGCTCACCTCTGACGGGGGGGGAGAGGTGGCAGGGCAGGAGGGGGATGGGGGTGGATGGGGAAAGGGGGGACGGAGGGAGGGCTGGAGGGGAGGGGAGGGCAGTCGCGGATCCAGTCGGAGAGGCCTGCGCACGAGACGTGAAGCGTCCGCGGCGGTACAGCGTCGCGGGTTGGTCCAGTACGTAGTACGTCTCCGGGCACGTTTGTGCCTTGGCGCCCAGCACAGCATTTCGGCTGGTCCACGCGTATACCAGTAATCAAGACCACACATGCCACGCATTGGTCGGACCGAGGTGTAAGATCAAGAACGGTTCGGGGAGGGTGCCCTACCGTTCCTCGTGTTTGTTGAGTGTTTTTGTGCATCCTTTGGGGGAAGGTACCCTCAAGTGACTCTCTGGTTTGGGATGCTTTCGCCCGCGCAGGGTCTCATGTTCTTGAAGGATGCTCTCCACGACCGGAGGAGGAGTATGAAGAGGAGGAGGAGGAGGAGGAGGAGGAGGAGGAGGAGGAGGAGGATGGGGATGGCACCGATAGTTCCCAATGGGACTTTGGCATTGGTGCGTCGCTGTGCCGACGGGGAGGCGGCTTTCTCGTCGCTCCTCTGTTGGCAGTGCTGCGGGCGCCCCCGCGGCATGCGGGGTCGCTCTTGTCAGCGGGGGTCAGCAGCGTGACAGAGGGCCAGGACGGGGAGGAGCTACAGGGAGAGGATGGACGGACGATGGTGAGGAGTATTGCTGCCGATGCTGACCATGGTGATGGCGATGGCGACGACGACGACGACGAGCACGATTATGATTATCATGATGCTGCTGATTATGATGATGATGGTGATGGTGCTGATGATGCTGATGATGGTGGTGGTCATTATGATTATGATGATGATGGTGATGAAGACGACGATGCTTATGCTGGTGACGATGATGATGATGATGATGATGATTCTGATGACGATGATGATGATGATGATGATGATGATGATGATTATGGTGGTGGTGATGGTGGTGGTTATGATGATGACGATGGTGATGATGATGATGATGATAATGATGAAGACGACGACAATGATGATGTTGATGATGATGTTGGCGATGGTGATGGTGAAGATGATCACGATGATGATGATGTTGATGATGATGATGATGATGATGATGATGATGATGATGGTGATGGTGATAATGATGATGATGATGATGGTGATGATGATGATGACGATGATGATGATTATGATGATAAGGAGGATGAGGACGAGGATGAGGATAAGGATTGATGTGGGTACGTATGAGGATGATGATGGTGATGATGCTGATGCTGATGCTGATGCTGATGGTGCTGATGATGCTGAGGCTGATGCTGCTGCTGATGATGATGCTGCTGATGATGATGCTGATGCTGATGCTGATGCTGATGCTGATGCTGATGTGTGCATAGCCGGAGCGGCCGCGACGCGTTCACAGCTGCGGAGTCATGGAGTGAGCGGGGCACGCGGTCGCGACAGCAGTCTCCAGTTCACTGTGCCCACGACCAGGATCTAGTGTACAGCCCTGGTCTGGAAGGAGATTAAAGAGAGCAGAGATGGAACATGGGAGCGGGGCAGGGTGGCGGGGGTCAAAGTTGATGTGCAGCTGTTTGCGCTTGAGCTATCCTGCCCCTTCAGCTCACTCCTTCCTATCGTGCCTGAATCTATATTTTCCCTGGGAAGGGATGGGATCAGGGTTGTGTTTCAGTTGGTAAACTGTCCCTGGCCCTCGACTTGCGTAACGCCAGCCAAATTATTCTGCAATACATCACGAGGTCGCGTAGGACTGGCGAACTAGAATGTTGAGGACGTCCCGAGCGAAACGTGTGTTGTTGAGGTTGTCTCAGGCGAAACGCTGGTTGAGTAAGCGCCGCAGGTCGCCCATGCGGATGTCTACCATGGGGATTTCTCGAGGATTTCCCGAGCGAGCCGCATGTTTTTACATGGGTTCCTTTTGCAAGTGAAGTCAACCATGTGTTCATACGTGGGGCCCTTTTGCCCTGGACTCGCAACCATGTGTTTTTGCGTGGGTCCTGTTCGCCAGTGGGCCGAAGCCAGGTGTTTCAACAGAGGTTCCCTTCGCCCGTGGGCTCAAGCCATTTGTTTTTTTACAGTGGTTCCTTTCGCCGGTGGGTCAGCGCCATATGTGTTGACATGGGTTCCTTGTCGTCTGTGAGCTCAAAAACGCTGTGTTTTGTTATGGGGTCCCTTCGCTCCGAGCTCCTAGCTGATGCTATATGGTTTTACGTGGGATCCCATCGCCACTGGGTCGAAGCCATGTGTTTTACATTGACTGTTTTCGCCTGTGAGCCCACGCCGTGTGCTTTTACATGAGTTCATTTCGCCCGTGGGCGAAAACCAGCCCGAGAGCTCGAACCACGATTTTTGGATTCGCTATGTTCGCCCGTGAGTCCAAACTATGTGTTTTTACAATCGTTCTTTTCGCTCGTGAGCCCAAACCGTGTGTTTTGTATTTATGTTCTTTGCCCGGGAGCTCAAGCCGTGCGTGTTTTTCATCGGTTCCTTTCGCCCGTGGGCCGACGTCATGGGTTCCTTTTCGTTTGTGAGCTCAAGCCATGCGGTTTGTACATGGGTTCCTTTTGCCCTGGAGCCACCACCGTATGTGTTTACATTGGGTTCCTTTTGCCAGTGGGCCGAAATCATGCGTTTTTGCATGGGTCCCCTTCGCCCGTGAGCTCAAGTTCCTTTCGCCCGTGGGCCGAAGCCATGTGTTTCACATTGGTTCCTTTCGACCGTCAGCTCAAACCATGTGTCTTTACATGGCTTCGTGTCGCCAGTGAGCCAACACCACATGTTTTTTGCACGTGTTCCTTTCGCCAGTGAGCCCAACACTGTGAAGATCCAGGGAGCTCCGGGAGGCCACAGGATGCCCCAGGAGGCCCCAGGAGGTCCCAGGAGACCCCAGGAGGGCCCAGGAGGCCCCAGGAGGGCCCAGGAGGCCCCAGGAGGGCCTCAAGAACCTAAACCATTTGTGTCTTACATGGGCTCCTTCCGCCCGTGAGCCCACGCCGCGTGTTCTCGCACGGCTTCTTTGCCCGTGAGCTCAGACCATGCGCGAATGTGTTCTGCACGGGTTCTTTTCGCCCGTGGGCTGACACCTTGTGTTCCTGCATGGGCTTTTTTAGCCAGCGGGCCGACACCATGTTTTTGTATGGGGGCTTCTGTCGCAATTGGGCTGACCACGTGTGTTTCTGCCTCGGTTGACTGCCAAAGGAACCCCAAACTGCGCAGCCCATCCCTCGACGCATCCCTGCCGCTTGCTGGACAAGGGGGGTGGGCCGCTTGGCCCCGCAGGGCTGCACGCGAACCGTGGCCAGAGCCCTGGTCGTTCGAGAAACACCGCGGAGCAGGCACGCCCCTGCCACACACTCGGTCGAAATCGATCCATCAGGTGCTGCCCGCACGAACGCGGGCAACGACGGACTGCAGGGGGCTCCGACGCGGAGCCCCCAAAACAGAAAGCACACCTTCAAGTCACAGAGACGTCCCCCAAAGGCACGCCGAGGGGAAAGCTCAGACAGGTCAAGGCAGCACGGCGCCCCTGTACCGAGCCAGCTCCGTGGGCATCGCAGCTGTCTCCTCGCGGCCCGAGGCCCGAGCGAACGCCAGCGGCCCCTCGAGGGTGCCCGTGAGGTCGTCACCGTCCGCGGCCTGGGGGCCGTCTTGCCTGCCCCGTCTGCGCTTCCCGCGCCGAGATTCGCCTCGACGCTGTGTACACCTCCCGACGCCGCCGAGGTCAGAGGCGGCGCATGTGTGTGTGTGTGTGTGCGTGCGTGCGTGCGTGCGTGCGTGCGTGCGTGCGTGCGTGCGTGCGTGCGTGCGTGCGTGTTTTTGTGTGTGTGTGTGTTTGTATGTGTGTGTGTTTGTGTGTTTGTATGTGTGTGTGTGTTTGTGTGTTTGTGTGTGTGTGTCTTTGTGTGTGTGTTTGTGTGTTTGTGTGTGTGTGTGTTTGTGTGTGTTTGTGTGTGTGTGTGTGTGTGTGTGTGTGTGTGTGTGTGTGTGTGTGTGTGTGTTCGTGTCTTTGTGTGTGTGTGTGAGTTGGTGTGTGTATGTGTGTGAAGGCCGCTTATCTCATCCTTTCATCAGTTTTTCCTGCTACCTGATCGGCTCAGGTATTGGACAGCATCTAGCGTCCTGCTGGATGCACCTGCGCCCGCAGTTATTCGCAGGGCGCGAGGACACAACATCTCCATATTTCATCTTCCTCGTCCTCTACCTACGGATCATACGGTAGGTTCGACCCTCTGGTCGTTAACCTCTGTTCACAGCTTATCAGCCTTTTTCTACTTCGCTGTCTGTTGCGAAACCTCGCGCCGAGTTCGAGCTTCGCGCGTGTCGCTGAACCCTGTGGGGAACGGTGACTCTCTGCGCGGTGGCCCCTCGACGGTGCGTGGGCTTGGCGACGACACGGAGAGGGCAGTGGGACAGGGATAAGGATGAAGACGAGGCTGAGGATGAGGATGAGGAGGAGGAGGAGGAGGAGGAGGAGGAGGAGGAGGAGGAGGAGGAGGGGGAGGAGGAGGAGATATGCGAGGGGGACAGGGTGGACGATGAGAGGGAAGGGGCTTCCCAGACCTTCCCCCCCCGTCCTCCTTGCTAGAACCGCGTGAGGGATGGGGTCAGCGCGCCCTTCCGAGGCCTGCCCGGCTGGGGCCGCGCCCGGTGCCTGGCGGCGGAGGCCGGAGGCTCTGCCCTCCCGGGCGCCGCGCCGAGCCACGGAGCGCACGCGCGTGGCAAGCGACGGGCGGCTCAGAGGCCCCCATGCAGTGGAGGTCAATCCACGAGACGCCTCCCACCAATAGCCCAACCCTGCGACCCTAGGGCGTCACGCTGATGTTTGGGGTGGGGGCCGTCACGCGTGCCGCAGCAGAACCGCAGACACCCAAGAAACCCAGGGCACCCTGGAGGCAAGCAGGGTGTTTCTTGGCATGGGCCTCCACTGTAGAGCCCCCCATAGATAGGGTCCGAGTGGATGGGGTCGGAGGATCGCGCCGCATCGCCGTTGCATCGGCGACGTCGGCGACGCATCCGAGACGTCGGCATAGGGAAAATCGGGCTCCACATCGAGCCGCGTCGCCGATGCATGGGCGATGCGGCTCGATCCTCCGACCCCACTAACCCCGACCCTATCCGGGAGGCCTAGACGGATAGGGAGGCAATGGGGTGAGGAATAAGGGGGGCTTCCTCGGGGTCGGGGGCCCAGGGCCGTCGTTCGAGCGTGGGCACGACCTCTGGGGGTCGCTGCTTGCGATCCGCGCCTTTGGCCGGCTGCACAGACGCTGGCTCAGCGAGAAACGGCAGAAACGGCAGGGGGGCTTGTCGGTTTCGTCCGCGGCGGGCTTCGCCCGCGGTCGGCGTCGCCCGCCACGAATTTCGGCACGGCCCGCCCGCGAGAGTCCCGCTCCGCCCGCCTGGCTCGCCCTGTGACGGTCCCGTGCGAACCGCCCGCCCGTGAGGGTCTCGCCCGCCCGCCCCGCCCGCCCGTTCGGGCCCCGCCCGAACGGGCGACACTCCTCCTCCTCCTCCTCCTCCTCCTCCTCCTCCTCCTCCTCCTCCTCCTCCTCCTCTTCCTCCTCCTCGGTGTCGCTGGTGGTCGATTTCGCAAAACCGACACTTGCGAGATCGACCACCAGCGACCCCGACTCACGCCTCGGAGTAGACTCGGCAGGAGAGAGTGAGGAGAGGGGGGATGAGAGGGGAAACGCCGGGGAGAGGAGTTGAGGGACTATGGCATCCAGTGCCCATTCAACGCAATCGAAAGAGTCCCGACAGTTGTCGGACACCTCGCCCTCCAACATCCCCCCAAAACAAGCAATCCTCTTCATCTTCCTCTACCCCATCCCCCTCCTCATCACGATCACTATCACCATCACCATGACCATGACCCTCCCCGTCGTCATCATCATCATCATCATCAGCATCATCATCACCACCATCATCATCACCATCATCATCATCCACGACGCGCCGTTCCCTAACTAAGCGATTGAACTCACGCTTCTCTGAAGCCTAAGCGGTGACGCCCCCCTCTACCATCCTTTGTCTTTGTAAGTAGCTCCTCAATGCACACCCCTAGACGTGTTGGTAGGGCGGGCCCAGCGTTTCGCCTGAGACACCCTCACCACTCATGACCCTGGAACTTGGAATTTGCAACAGCTTCAAGGATGCCGCACAGGTCGCTTACAAGACGATGGTTCTCACCGAAGCGCCGCGCACATTCGTCATAAAAGCTGCGCCAGTCTGCTTCAAGGATGGAGCAATCAGTTTCTACAATGTGGCTCTCGCCCGGACGCCGCGCACATTCGTGTTAAAAAGTATGCGTCAGCTTTACTGACTGGGGGGGTTCGTTTTCAAAATGTAATTCTCGCCTTGTCGCCGCGCACATTCGTCTTAAAAGTTCGCACCAGCTTCACGGATGGAAGAGGTGTTGTTTTCACAGACTGGCTCTCGCCATAGCGCCGCTTGCATTCACACCAAGTGCACGAATGGACTGGTGGTCGTTTCCAGAATGAGGCT